TAATTGTCCACTCCATATCATCATCAAAATCACTTTTAGTGCAACAATGGATCAATGCTAAACATGGTTTTGGCACTTGGCGTTGATCCGCTAATATAAAATTAAGGGATCAAACTTTGTCTCTGGTGATTATAAGCTATTTTATCTATGCATGGAGCAAAAACAACACTATAAAACCTAACTTTTAAGTTACATCACATATATGATGTGACATGTATATCACCTTAGCAATGTATGTACCATTTTTCAAAAAATTCCACACATATAAAAATAGAATATGAAACATAATCCTAAGGCAAGGGATAGCACATCAACATCATAACACCATCCACATTGTGCCATTTTGACTCCTAGGTTTCTTGGAGCCTGGTATTTTTGAAAATATGATATTTATATTTGCAAAACTCAAATATTATAAATTTGTTTTCCATATAGACGAGAACCTTGGCTCCTGGGTTTCTTGGAGCACAGTAGTTTTGTAAATATGAAATTTATATTTGGAAAATTTCAAATATTATAAATTATTTTTCCGTATAGACGAGAACCTTGGCGCGGGCATGCAACACCAGAGATATATTTTCATTGCTCTCTCCAGTTCTCGGTGCACAAGGATCTAGAGCACACGATGGTTCGACGGACAAAATATCACCTTTACCACAAGTCACAATCGAGGAAGCAAAAACTTTGATGGTATGCCCACGAGTCACAAATCAAAACCACCAGTGGCACATGCTACAGTCACATATGCTAGTGAACTGATTGAAGTGAATCAGCATGACTGGGACGCTCAGGCTGTAAGAGAGAACTTTCTACAGATAGATGCTGAAGCAATCTTAAGGATTCCCATTAGTCCTGGAGATGATTTCTGGGCATGGCAACCAGATAAACAGGGCCAATTCTCTGTGCGTTCGGCCTACAAACTGCTTACTGGTAATCAAGATAGAGAAGAGGTTGCAGTTAGTTCTAATGGGTTCAAAACAGCTTGGAAAACCCTTTGGCAGCTGGAAGTACCTCCCAACGTCAGATGTTTTTGGTGGCGGGTGATAAAAGACTTCATTCCCTGTTGGTCGATTCTTCGAGATCACCATGTGGAACAAATTCCTTTCTGTGACGACTGTGGTGGCGACGAGAACACACAACATGCATTATTCAAGTGCACCTGGGCATGCGCTTTCTGAAATCAGATGGAGCTTCGAACTGGAATTAAAATACCTATACTTCATCCGGAGTCTTGGGCGCTAGATATCATTGAAGGAGACATGGTCAGCCGGGGTGAGGCGTGTCTCATCCTGTGCGGTGCATGGGCTGTGTGGTCTCTGAATGCAATTCCCGTCGGCATGGGGGACAGAACAGAAGCATCAATCAGTCAGTTTGTTGGGCCTAAGAGGAACAAACATTGTAGGTACAGATGAATTTGTTCTAAGAAACCTACAAGATGAACAAAAGTGAATACATTCTCCTTTCTGTAAACTATATATATTGGTCATACAAGCGAGGAACTCATTTTTTTTCCACCCATTTTAGTAGCATTTGACACAATGAGATGGCATAAATCAGTCAGTAGCAGTAACAGACTAACAGTAAATTATGTTGGTCAAAATCCTTCATTAAGAAAGCATTCTTTTATCAGCGAGTGCCCTAAAAAAATCTAGAGTGCAGAAAAGAATTCATGTGCTCATATCTATATGTGCAGTTGTAAACTTTAAAGATGATGTGCCAATATGACAGAACTTGTCAAATATTCAGGTGGAAGGAGTGCGAGAAACAAAGAATAATTGCAAAGCAATGTGTAAACTCACAAAGCAATGTGTAAACTCACATTCTCCACGATGATCCTTCACCACAAAGTTCAGTACGTGGATGATACATCTCCCACTGTGTCATTGCCTCCTCACGGCCAACAAACACATCTCAGAAAGCAAGGGCGCTATTTATCTTCTCTTTCTCTAACAATGCTAGTACGTAACTCGTGAGCCTTCTCCGCCTTCAAAGTCTCTCTCTAGAACTACCATTTCAACTTTCAACAGGAACTCCTCACCCGTTACTATAACTTCTCTGGTCAAAGTTTCAACTAGAGCAATAGTTAGCCTCGCCTTCAAAAGCCTGGTGGGTACAACGTCCGTACCATATGTCCTCGTCGATGGCATATGCACTAGAACCATTGCCTTGTTGGTCGTAGGTATATCTCCTCTTTACGAGCAATGAGGGAGTACTGTTGAGTGCACAGGCCTGCTGGTGCCTGGCCACAGCGACGTCCAGGTAGAAACTCAAGACAGGAGTTGGTGTTATCGAAAAGGTGGTCCTGCCAGACGAAGATGCTGATCACTCAAGTCTGCCATTGTCATCACAAGGAATGCCATCGCTATCCGCCTTAGCAGAGCCACCAGCCCTGCAGGTTAAAGATTCACATTAGTTTCATAATACCAGAAGTGAACCATCTCTTTTGAAATCAAGATTCTCATTCAGCCGGGATTAAGGTACAGAAACTAGTTCACACAGAAAAGGAGAACTTTGTTCAGCTGCCAATGCTGGTAATTGAGTTCAGAACAGATACCTTTAGTTTGCATTATGATGACAAGTACTAGTAGTGAAGCAGTAATCTTTATAAAATGCAAATATTTTGATAAAATAGGTGGCAGCAGAAATAAACAAACTAAATAGAAAACTTCCATGCTTCCAGGATTACATATCTTGCCAAGATGCCACATGCATAATGTTAGAAATTCTATCGGCAAGGTTATAAAGAAAGCTCTGCCTTTCTTTTTCTGACGTGTACACGTTCTAACTGTATTTTGTGCCTGAAACAAACTCATGACGTTTTCCTATTGTTCTGAAAATGTGTCCCCTGCATAGATTATAAAGTCATGAAATATTCTTGTTATTTCTAACTGTAGGAAAGCCTAATCGTGAATCTTGAAATTTGTAATGATCTTCAAACTTTAAGATATTACCTCGCAGATAACCTCAGTGAACTGCTATATATCCAATATAAAGTATACAGAGAAGATATTGGGCAATTAACAGCAGAATTGTGTAGACAGAATCTTAATGCGCAATAATCCAAAGCAGTCATGATAAACCGTAAACCATTAAATCCTCCAGTTTTTGATTCTCCAATAGCAGACAAACTTGGAGGAGAAAATGAATGATTAAACCCCTCAGGGGGTTTAATAAACTTTTGCTGCGAAGAATGAATTCCGGCAAAATGTCTCATCCTTTCCGCCAATTGACTATTGACCTTTGTGGGATTGTTATTAATTGTTCATCTCATAAAGGGTGGGGTATCAAATCCCTAGAAACTAGGAAAGTCAGGCTTTACTTCATTATATCTTAATGATAGTATGTGCCAGCATAGTATGTGCAAGTATGTGCCACGATATGGGATAGCCACGATGAAGGTGGGATAAATCATGACCATCTCTCGTGTTGACTAGAGTGGCATCCTTCTCTTCAACATACTCAACCAGCATAACAAGCATCTCCCCAGCAATGCACAAATAATAATATCCCCCCAAAAAACTGATGAGCAGGGGGCCCACCTCCGGTTCCATTTTCATTGAAAAAAAACAAAAAATATACAAATATATATCCTGCTGTAAGAATACAAACCACCTACCACGAACACCCACATATGAAGAAAATATGAAACAAAGTCATGAGTACAGAAGTTTTCCAAGAAGAAACCTCGTTTTTCTATTAAGTGTGTGTTGTCTGATGAAGAATAATGGGGGGAGCCAACTCAGTAACCTAGCGGAGGAACAGTCCAGACTTGAATAGAGACCAGGTCATGTAAATCCATTTTTTTCCAAGACATGCAGATTTATATAAAAGTACAGAAAAACATAGAGAAATGTGTGTTGATGCCTTTGAGTAAAAGATCTTGTCTAAGAAATAATAAAAATCCATGAGCCATTCTAGAAAGTATGATAAAAAAAAAAGCAATTGCAATAACTATAGCCTTGCACTCTATGACCAAACATATAAACATCTTCATCTCACTAATATTGCAGTCTAGTACTATATGCACCTTTGGCAAAAATATGCAAGAAACAATGAACAAATAGCTGACAGTTTTATGAAGCTACTGAAGCAATTAAAACCTCTTTGAGGTCTTCATACAGTCATGCAGATCACATCTTCTCAGTCAGTCAGTTCCCTCAACTTATAGCTCAAGATTTCACTAACATAATAACATTGATTGCTAAATAAATGCAATAAAATCAGCACTTGACATGTAGCACTAATTAAATTCAAAGATAAATTAAGACATATCAGCAAGCCAGCATACAGAAAGCCATGATCATCTCTTGAGAGACAAGAACCACTAGCTCTAGACATGTCTCATCACCTCTTTTTGAAGATGAGAATTCAGATATTGGATCAAAGCTGGGAGAGCAAACTGTACAAGTTTTTAAATGGAAACACTAAGATATTGTCTGCAGATGCATTTTTGAGCAAATTACAAGATGCCACATAGCTGAAGCTGCAAGAAATTAGAGGTTCATTACAAACATAATCCAATCACTCGCTTACGATGCACCAAACCAGCTACTAAATAATGGCATAAGACAACACGGGGACCTGTCAAGCTTACTGACAAAAGCCAATAACAATATGATAAAACAAGAACCACTGCACCAAACCAGCTACTAAATAATGGCATAATTCATCAAGAGACCACTGTCGCCTCCAAGTTGGTCATCTTTTGTGATGATGAGAGTCGCCTCCTGGCTTAAACATACTCAACCATATGTTGTCAATTCACCGCATCACTGTGCAAACATAGAATTTTCAGTGTGAATACAACATAAATTGCCAATTAAATAAGCACAATTCGAGTGTTACATACCACTCAGTTTGTTAGGATGCATTTCAAATATAACTTCCAATCTGATTAGACATCTAGTGACTTGTATGTTCCACTAGCTTATACTTTATACTTTAAGCTTTATTCCCAAATCAGAAGAAGAAAAAAAGGACTACAGATATAGATATATACCTCAGCGGTTGTAGAAACTCATGTACGGAATCAAAGCACAGAACTTGTCTGTCTTCCACAGCTTCTTCCATCGTAGTGACTTGAGATTAATCTCATAGATGCCCATGTCCGTGGTCACGAACACAGTATCACTGCCCTCCACAGATCCAAGCAGTTCAAGATCTTCCTCGGGATTTTGAATGGGGAGAAGGTTCCCAAGATCGACGATTGCACGCTGAGTCCATGAGGCAACTCCGTGAGAAGCCATCTGCCTTGACCACAGATTGAGGGTTAACCTTTCCACATGTGCAAGTCCCAAGCTGTCATCCTCCATCGCCATGAGTGTGGCGGCATCGTCAATGACAGGCCCCTCCAATGGCGCGTCAATTAGTGATAAGCAGTTAGAGCCCAAGTCATACTTGAGAATTCCTACACGACGATAATCCTCATAGTGCCTAAGCATGAAGTGAAGTGCGTCTTGGACGAGGACTGGGGGTCTTGCCTCAATGAATGCATCGTCCACAAGATGAAGACGAGAGCACGGCTCACACCATTTGCCATTGGGCCGCTTGCTGGAATCAGAATCAGACAAGAGCACGGCTGCGGATGCAACACAAACACCCTCGCCCTCATCCTGGTCCAGGTAGACAAAGACGACCCGGAAGGGGCCCTCGTGACACGCGCGGTGGTCACAGCCGGTGAGGGCGCAGAGCACCGCAGCCCCATGGCTTTCGGCCTCCATGTATTCTGTGAACGGGCGCAGCTCGGTGGAGCAGCCCGTCATGGGGTTCCAAATGAAGAGCATCCTGTGTCCCAGATCCTTACACCTGATGAGAACGCGGCCATGGCGGCAGTCCTGCGCATCGTACTCCGAGTGCCCCCGGAGGTCGTCGGGAATGCGTGCGGCGAATTTCGTGGTGGAGACGAAGTGTGGGCGGGGGTCTGTCGACGGCGGACTGAAACATAAGAAGGGCAGGGTATATAGGAAGCCGAGCATGGGGGGAGCTCCATGGAAGTCGCGGTAGCGGCCGCGGAAGCGAGCGCCGGTGAGGAGGCCGAGCCAGAGCTTGCTGGCGAGGGAGGCGCGCACGAGGTGCTCCGGCTCGTCCGGCGGGAGGTGGAGGAAGACCTCCTCGAGAAGCTCTTCCGGCAGAGATGGAACGGGGGTCGTCGGCGGCATGGTGATGGCTGGTGGAGGCGGCGAGGGTTTCGGGTGGGGAAGTTTCTTAGCTGCTGCGGCAAAAGGAAGGAAGGAATAGGATGGGATGGATGATGGATAGTGGCGAGCTCAGATTTATTTGGGCTTTGGGCTTTGGGCTGAGCACAGCATTCTCAGACTCCAAAGGAAAACAGAGCATTCACTCACCCCTCAGAAAAATAAAAACAGAGCATTCTCTCTCTTCTAATAAAAAAGCAGACCAGACCATTCTCTCTCTTTGTCCGAAGAGATAAGATATATTACTCCCACCGTAAACTAATATGAAAGCGTTTAGATCACTAACTATAAACTAATATAAAAGCGTTTAGATCACTAAAACTGTAAACTAATATAAAAGTGTTTAGATCACTAAAATATAAGAGCGTGATCTAAATGCTCTTATATTAGTCTACAGAGGGAATACAAAAGTTTATCGGAAGTACAAATTATCTCAAACATAAAAAATTACATTGAGATTCCGAGACACCAAACGACCACTAGCGCCGCTGTCGTCATTCCCTTATTTGAGCTAGTTTGATCTTGTCGATAACAGCCAAAAAGTCTTCGTGCACATGCCCCTAAGGACCAGCGTTCTGGAGCTGCAGTCGTCGCCGCTGAGCCCTTCCATAAATCTGAAGTACCTTCTCGCTTTAAAGAAATAACGAAATAACGACAGAAGCACTACAATTTCCATGAGGGAGCTTCACAGAAGAAGAAAAAAAAAGGCACTACACGATTCTTCTACTTGCTTGCAACTTGAAATCATTAGCCAAAGCACAAGGGAGTCATGATAATTTCACTATTTTCAATTTTATCATTGCAGTATGACTACAATATTTATATTTTCATTTGATACCTTACAACAATCAACAATACAATTATTTCTTTATAGAAATAAAATCTAGAAAAAATCGATATTTTTTTAAGATTGACATATTTTTATTAAAGGTTTTAACATTTATGTTTTATGTTTTGCTGGTTTTCGTTATTTTTCTTCAAGTTTTTTTAGTTGCTCGGGCTCGTTTGGTGGGAGGCAGGGGAAGGTCTCCTCAAGAAGCTCGTCCGACAGCGGCAGCGACATGCATGGTTAAAAAAATGAGACCAACCTAAGAACTAACCCTCATTGGCATTTTTTTTATAGAAGAAACTCCGCAAGCACCACGAGTCCTAGCTGGGACTCGAACTCGGATGGGCTGGCAGCAACCTCAGCTGCCCAGCCAACGGCTCGACGCCCCGTCCTCGACATGCATGGTTGGTGGTGGGTGGAGGCGAAGGCTTCAATCGGGAGGGGAAAAGTTCGAGGTGGTGTGGGTTTGTGGACTGTTTTTTGTGTGACCTTCTCATTGGGGCTTGGGTGAGAGCATGTGTGGTGGTCTCGTTTGGGCCTCACATGGTGGTCATGTTAAATATTGGACTGCAATAGACAGAGACATTTTGCTAGTTAGGATGACATTTGCGAATGACACGGCTGGCAATTTTAGTGTTTGAGGATGGCATTTTTTGACAAAAGCATGTCACTTTATTTATTTTATTGCTTTTTCATCCAAAAACTGTCACTGTCAGATCTTGATCATGTGGCTATGAGAGGGTTCATTTCCTCCTAGGGAACAGTCGCTAGATTAGGTCTATCTCTATAAAATTGCATATATAATAGTAAGAGTATACATTGAGTATTATAATGTAGAAAAAGAGCTAAAAAGAATTTTTCTTGCTAAGTTCTTTGTGCTTTGCCACAATGATTAACTTTAATTTGCACAAAAATCCTATTAAATTTTCTAATGATTAACTTTGCATAGAACTAACCAAAATATAACATCGAAAGGAGCAGTAAATTTAATCTACACAGAATTAAAAAGGTGAAATACACGGAAGGAAAGATACATATTTGAAGATAAACTAATTGCTCCAAGTTAGGAAAGAGGAGCAATTGCCTCCAATTGATTTAGCAAGCAAGTAGTGCAATAAAACAGGAGAGGAGACTGGCCTATTGATGCAAAATCAAAGACAATGAAAAAACATCATGTGTTAGATGGTAAAAATCTAAACTAACCAAAATAATACAGTGAATCCTGGAATGCAAATCTATATCTATATCTATACCTACTAATAAAGCAAGCTGCGTTTCGTCAAGTTTTTTCATCCGTTCACCGCTGAAAAGAACTTTTTTTGCTATCCAAGGTGGTACTAATTTTTTATGCCTTTGTTTGCTAAAATAGAATTTCTGTACGTGGGCCGCGTGCTCTGGCCCAGCGAAGCCAGCCCACTTATTTGTCTACCCACGCAGTTGATAAAAGACTATTTCCCGCACACGGAGACAAATAGTGGAGTTTTGCACAGGACAACCAATATTGGGCTAGCCCATTTTTCTTTGTTTCTGTGTTTTACTTCTATTATTATTGTTATTATTATTATTATTATTATTATTATTATTATTATTATTATTATTATTATATCTCGTTTTTCCCTTCCAATTTTATTTTAAATTTATTATTAATTTCGTAAATTAAAAATTCATAAAAAACTTTAAGAATTAAGAAACAATTTGTTGAAAATGTTCAAAATTCCAAAATTTTCTTGCTATTTTGTAAAATATTCAGAACATGCAAAAAGTTTCCCATTTTTGCAAAAAGACCATACTTTTCAAAATTGTTCGAGATGTCTAAAAAGAAACTGGCATTTCAAAAAAATGTATCAAATTAAGAAAATATTAATTTTTTATTTAAATTGTCACAACTAAAAATGTACTTCGTGTATAAAAGATACACATTTTCTAAAAATCTTATGAAACACATGTTCCAATTTTACAAAATGTTCAAAAATTCAAATAATGTTCATAGTTTTTTGTCTGATTTTCGCACAGGACAACCAATAGTGGGCTGGCCCATGTTCTTTGTTTCTGTGTTTTACTTCTATTTTATTCTCCTTTTCCATATCTCTTTCTTCCCTTCCAAGTTTATTTTTCTTTTAGAATTTATTTCTTAAATTAAAAACTCTTAAAAAATTCAGACTTAAGAAAAACATTTTTTTGCAAATGTTAAGAATTCCGAAATTTTGTTGCTATTTTGAAAAATATTCAGAACCTGCAAAACAATTCCCATTTTTTTAAAAACAATTATTGTTTTTAAAAATTGTTCGAGATGTCTTAAATGAAAATGGCATTTCAAAAATGCTCCAAATTCGAAAAATATTCCTTTTTAGTGAAATTTGCACAATTAAAAATAATGCTTTGTATAAAAGATACACGTTTTCTAAAAATCTTAGGAATTTTCGACACATGTTCCCGTTTTTAAAAAAATGTTCACAAAGTCAAATAATGTTAAGCCTGAATTTTCGACACATGTTCCCGTTTTTTAAAAAATGTTCACAAAGTCAATAATGTTAATATTTTTATAAAAAAAGCTGGTATTTTCAGAAAATGTTTGTGAATTTAAAAGATGTTCCTTTTCATATTTTCTTCGTGTTTTTCTATAGTGTACATAATTAAAAAAAATTATTCCATATTTAAAAAATTGTTCATGTCTCCTAGAATAATTAGAAACTTCATACCTTAAAATCCTCTCGATCGAAAGGATTGAAAGGAAAGTAGATTGAATAACTCATGTGCCTTATCTGACATACGGTGACGTAACAAAACTCTTAAATGCCCTCGATTAATGAATGGAAAAATAGCGGATTGATTCTTTCACACGTGGCGAAACCGAGAAGCTAAACATCCTTTTTTTCATGTGCACATAAGATTCTGCTTGCACATATAATTGTCACTGACTTTAAATGCATACTATTTATCTCCCGTTGCAATGCACGGGCATATGTGCTAGTAAGATCCTAAAAAGAATAAGATCTGTAGTAGTGAGATGGAAGAGACATCCTGTGGTCCGTACCTCGTGACTCACAATGTATAGCCAGCGTTCCAGCCGGTGTAGGAAGGGACAAACCTGCATTATGGAGGGTGGCCCGCTGCTCCCTTCACCTCCGTAGCGGGCTGGTCGTCTGCCTCATCAATTCTGTATACTCCCTCCGGTCCTTTTTACTCTGCACATTGGTTTTGCCGAAAGTCAAACTTTGATAAGTTTGACCAAATTTATATTAAAAATTATCAGCATCTATAATATTTAATAAATATAATATGAAAATATATTCCAAGATAAATCTAATGATATTGGTGTTGTTATGTGAATGTCTATAATTTTTTATATAAACTTGGTCAAAGTTGGATGAGATTGACTTCAGACAAACCTAATATGCAAAGTAAAAAGGACCGGAGGGAGTACATGCACCTGGTGTTTTGACTTGTGAGGAGAAGAAGGGTCAAATCTGGCTGGAGGCCATGTAATCGATGGGCTGTGGGGAAGTATCAAGCGTTACAACAGCAGTAGCTCTGAAGAAACTACCCCGCAAAAAAAAAAGCTCTGAAGAAACTAAGACAAGAATGAATTACGTGGTTTCACCATCATCGACAGCTACGGGGCCTGAACTTGCTGAAGAAGACTACCTTCCCCGCAGTAGAAGCTCGGCCCTGAATCAGCTAGGGCAGCACCCTGTTGAATGCTCGCCAGGGAAGGTGGATGAAGCGCTCCTCCAAACTGTCTGCTGTCAACGCCCGGTCTTTTGATGCCTTTAGGAAAACCAGGTCCAGACTCCAATCTGGCCGTCAACAGGCTCGGTCCGGGTGGAATCCAGCGGAACAAACCTCCAGCCGGAGATACCTTGGCCGGAACGAAGACAGAGTTGTAGCGATGTTGGGAACCACACCAGCAGCGCGAACATAGCCCGATAGAATACCAGAGAGCAGCAGAGGTGATACAGACCGACGCTCGTGCCGGGGGAGCTCCCTGATGCAGAGATCGAAACCCATCCGCCGCTTCCTACAGAATAGAAGGAAAAAGATGGTGTTAGAGGTAGTGAGGGGTCATCGTTTTATTAGGGGATAGAGGAGTCCGTGGTTTGCGCCTGCAAACGGTTGAGAGTTAATGAAACGTCGT